GATTTATAAATTCTCTTTAACTTTTCTCTCTGGAGGAACAGTTGATGGGTTACTTTCTGATGTCACTGTTTCTAGTAAGGGCATTATATTAGTAAAATTCATCTTTAGAATGGTAATTTAGTTGATACATAACTGATTTTTACAATGGAAGAGTTGTGGATGTCAAGGAATTGGCAAGCAAGAATGAATTTCCTTGCTAGATTTTCTGTCCATAGAGTCTAGATAGTGAAGAGCCTATTTAAAAAAAAGTTGCTGGGGGTTCCTCATTTGGCATGGATAGTTAAGTAGAAATGATGCCATACTGGGTGTGGAAGAATAAAGATCATCAATAACAGCTTCTAGAGAATGGGAGTTTTGTTTTGTTTTGTTTTTAATTTGAGAGAAAGAGCGAGCATGCCAGCTCCTGTGTCCACTAGTTCACTCCTTGCAACAGCTGGGTTGAAGCTGAAGCCAGAAGCCAGTAATGCAATTCAGGTCTCCTGTATGGGTAGTAGGAACCCAATTATTTCAGCCATTACTGCTTGCCTCCAGGGTTTGCTTTGGCACAAAGCTGGCATCAGAATGGGGAATTAGACTCAGGCACTCTGATACAGGTCATGTGCATCTTAACGGCTAGTTTGAATGCCTGCTCCAAGAATGTGTTTTAGCGTGTAAATTCTCTGAATAATTTTTTTTTACTTATTTACTCCAAAGGGAGAGCAAGTGAGCTTGCCCATCTGTTGGGTTACTCCTCAAAGATCAGCAACAACTTGGGCTGGGCTAACCTGAAGTCAGGAGCCAGGAGCTCAGTCTGTGTCTCCCATGTGGGTGGCAGAGACCTAATGTATTTGAGCCATCATTGCTGCCTGCCATGGGGAGCTGGAACCAGGCATCCAAGGGAGTGGCTTAACCGCTATGCCAAATGCCTACCCCTAAAGTATAAATTCTTTAAGAAATGATGTAGGGCCTAAGTTTTTATTGGAGAAGTTCCTGAATGTTTCTTTTTTTCTTTTCTTTTTTTTTGGGGGGGGGCAAGATAATCCACTTGGTGACAAATTAAGAAAAAATTGGTAAAAGTTACATGGTAAATGTTGAGTAGTTACTTCAGAATTTGCACTTATTTTATGCTGTTATTCTTCCCTAGCCATATTTTCCTGCCTGTTCTTGTGTCTGAGTAGTCTAGATAAAAGCAAAACTATTAGTTAAAATACTTAAAGGGCTTTTTTCAGCCTCAATAACTTATTTGAATAATATTAAATAACACAGAATGTACTAGATTGATATAGAGTGTATAGTTCTGTTTAGCTCCATGATTATTAAAATAATAATTTTGAGCTATATTTGCCTTGTAAAATTTTATTTTCTCATATTTGCATACATATATTTTTATGTATTATTTTCCTCATAGACAATTATGGTATGTTCAGAAGAGAGTACAGGCTTTAATCCCTTTTTATTTTAATGTGACCTTTTGATTTAAATGAAATCCTATGTGGAAACCTTATCTGAAGTCCATGGTGGTGTTTATACCAGGGGACCTGTATTGCTGGCCCCTCAGTCCTTTGAGAACACCTAGCACTCACTACCATCTACTTTCCTCATTTATAAAATAGGAATGATAATAGCTACCTGTATCACAATGTTGGCTTTATAGAGACCTGCAGTTAATATTCTTTCCCAGTCCTCTTTGATTTTAACTTCCTCATATTGCATGTTATGATGTTCATACATCACAGATCTTCCTGTTGATGAGTCATCTGGATAGATGCACTATCATGTGACCAGAGTTTTACTGTGGAGAATATGATCACCATAACTGTAGTGCTTTATGTATTGTTGCCTGAAGCATTCATTAAAGTTGCTACTGCTGCTGTTTCTGCCAAAAGCAGGCACAGTTGTTTAAATGTACTTGGAGATGGGAAGTGTCAACTAAGCTTACGTCTCTATCTTTTTTTCAATTGTAAATCACATGAAGATTATCACAAGTCAGCAGGTTTCAAGATTTTTTTTTTTTTCAGATTTTATTTTATTTATTTACTTAAGAGGCAGAGTTACAGAGAGAGAGAGAGAGGCAGAGACAGAGGCAGAGAGAGGCAAAAGGTCTTCCATCTGCTGGTTCACTCCCAAACTGCCACAATGGCCAGAGCCAGGCTGATCCAAAGCCTGGAGCTAGGAACTTCTTCTGGGTCTCCCATGTGGATCCAGAGGCCCAAACGCTTGGGCCATTCTCCTGCTTTCCCATGCACATTTGCAGGGAACTGGATCAGAAAAGGAACAGCTGAGACTCAAACCAGTACTCCTATGGGATGCTGGCACCACAGGCAGAAGCTTAGCTCACTACACCACAGCTCCTGCCCTAAGTCTCATTATCTTAAAGCAGGATTTTTCCTAGAATATTTGATCTTCTGAGCTATTCCAGTGTATTTGGTTTTGAAGATTAGAGAGGAAGAGGAAGTTGACTGTCTATGCCAGAGTCTGTTGCTTATTGACCTTCATTTTGAAGACTAGGCATGTTACTGCTCCTAAATCTTCTCCAACTTGCTGTTGATATTTTGAGTAATTAAGTTACCAGTTAATTAGTAGTATGATATCAGGTTTCTATGGAGATTGATGTCAATTATTCAGCCATGAGTAAAAAACTGTCTTAGAGATAGTATTGTCACAAATGAATTATAAAAACTAAATCTCCTTAAAAGTCAAATTTACAAATTGGAGAATTATTAGATCATTTTCTTCTTGCCTGATTTATACATGATTTTGGTGATGAAAGATTATGAAATGGAGGTTATCAGTTTATAATAGAAATACTATTAGTAATCTAGACTTCATGATTTTTCATCAGATAACTAGATTTCTTACATGTTTCATAAATTTTAAAGATCACAGAGGTTAAGTTTTATTGATTGCTGCTTTGGAGGTGTAGGATTTTGTCTTAGTTGTTTAGTGCTGCTGCAACAAGATTTCTGAGATGACAGAATTTATAAAAAAATAGAAATGAATTTTCTCACAGTTTGAGAGGCTGGGAAATCCAAGATCAAGACGGTGGCATTTGGTGTCTGTTGAGAGCTGCCTTGCAGTATTCTGAGGGAAGAAAACGCTGCCCTCACATGGCAAAAGGGCAGAAGAGCAAGCTAGCACATTGCTGCCTTAAGCCTATTTTTAAGTCTTAATCCCATTTACAAAGAAGGAACCTGCATTGCCAGTACTACCACCTGAAGGCCTCCACTGTTTGTACTATCATGTCAGCAGCACCTGGATTTTAGATGAGACACATTTAAACCAAGGCAGAAGTACCAGAATACTTCACAAATTTAGTGGAAAAAATGGGTGGGCATTGTGGTACAGTGGGTTTTTGCCACTGCTTGGGATGCCCACATCCCATATCAGAGTGCTGGTTTGAGTCCCAGCTCCTCCATTTCCAATCCAGCTTCCTACTAATGCATGATGAGAGAGAGTGATTAAAGGCTGAAGGCAGAAGAGCCTGGGGTTCTACCTCCCGTGTGGGAGATCCAGCTGGCATTTCAGCTCCCAGCTTTGGCCTGGCCTGGCTCTTGCTATTGTAGTCATTAGGGAATGAGCCAGCAGATGGAAGATTTCTGTCTCTCTCAACATCTTTAGATTTATTTTTCTATGAGCTCCCCCACCCCCAATTTTGTTTGAGAGATGGAGATCTTCTGTGCACTGGTTCATTCCCCAACTGGCTGCAACAGCCTGAGCCAGGCCAGGCCTAAGTCAGTAGCCTAGAACTCAATCTGGTTCTCCTGAATTGGTGGCAGGGACCACTTGAGCCATCACCTGCTGCCTCCCAGGATACACATCAGCAGGAAGCCAAATGAGAAGCAGAGTACTCAGAACTCATGAACCAGACACTCTGGTGTGAGATTCAAGTGTCCCAAGCAGGAGTTTAAGCCACTGCACCACATGCCTGCCCTTCCATCAGATTCTTACCTAAGATTAAGGATATTTTTGCTAATGGGATGCCATGTACTCTCTGATCTCTGAGGAATTGTTTGAAGTAATTCATAGACTATATTCCAAATATTTCCTGGATCTATGGGGAAAAAATTTGTGTTTTAGAAATGTGAGTCAAGAGAATTTAATCTAGCATGGTGAAATTCATCATGTTTTTGAGAAAATGAATCAGTGTTACCTAAGGTTGAAGGAAAAGGGTTTAATGGCCAGATGGATTTGGAATATGCTGGTTTATCGAAGCTAAGCTTCATTTGATGACTTTCCAGAAGGTTTAATATTGAAATGTTTTATATCAGTAAGATTAATCCAGTCATTTATCTCATTTTGTGTAATTTTTCCTCTCATCACAAAATAATGTGAAAGTTTCATGTCACATGTTGCATTATTAATGTGAAGGAAAATATCTTTTAATATTTGAAAAGTCACCCCATGTAGGAAATTTTATATAACAATTAGAAAGTTTTCAATTCTGTTTTCTCTTTGAATTTTTATGGGAATTGATAAGGACATGAGTAGAGAAGGAAAATAAATGAGGTAGGAAGTAAGGGTAGAATAGAAGGAGAAACTAATTCAACAGAACAAACTATATTAAAAATTTTGTTTTGACTTTTCTCTTAGATGCTTACTGACTAAGATTTTTCTAGGATACATATTTATATATAAACATTTTTACAGTAAAACAATATAACTTGCTGTATTAAAATCTCCTGAAATTGTTTCTTTGTGATGTTTGGAGTATTACAGAATCTTAGTGGAGAGAATGTACTATGGTTGTGTTCTCTGCCAGTTAAAGAGAATGTTCTATAATTTTTAGATTGTTACTCTTAACTCTGGTCATAATTTGCTTTACTTCACAGTTTCCTAAAAATTTGAAACTTTGTTCTTCATTTCACCTTATTTTACACTCTGACTTTAATGGTCTTTTGCAATATAATTTTTAGTTTTGAAGGTTTGACTCCAGTGAGTAGCAGTGTGTATCAGAACGTTTACTGCATGATTTTTCAGTTAAACCTGTAACTATTTGTTGTGCACAAATGTCTGTATTTCAGATGGAGCAGCTATCAGATGAAGAAGTTGACCATGGTGCCGAAGAAGATAGTGACAAGGAAGATCAGGACTTGGACAAGATGTTTGGGGCCTGGCTTGGAGAACTAGATAAACTCACTCAGGTTAGAAGAAGTGCTTGGAAAATTCTGTGGTCGTTTTTGCATAAAAGGCATAAGGACATGGACATGATTTAAATTTTATAAATATGTCTAGATAGGAAAAATGTCCAAGACACTCAGTAGGACATAAAACAGTTTCTTTGGTATTTGTTCTACAAATGTTTTTTAAAGAAGACTGTGACCAAGATTCTGTGTATCTAGTTGGATTACTTATTGATCTGTTTCATAAATTTGAGATTGCTAGCTAAAAAGTTTTAAGACATAAAATTTAAAGTCTAAATTTTAGCAAATTCTATCCCATAGCACAGTAAATTGAATACGTTTTACAACATGAATTATTTTCCTCACATGTAAGTATTTTCTACTATGTGATTCCAGAATATTGGCAAAATTTTCCAGCTCCTAGCTTTGGCCTGGCCCTAGTCTTCCTATTGGGATCATTTGGGGAGTGATTCAAAAGCACAAGGTATTGATCCCAGGCATTCCAGTATGGGATGTGAGCATCTTGATTACGAGGCCAAATGCCTGTCCCCATTTAAGTCTTGATTTTTTTGAAAAACATAGTTGTGGCACAGAGGTAATAACTGGGGGAGAAAGAGGAAGCAATGCAGGGGAAATAGAAAATGATAGTGTATGAAGGAATGTGCTGACAAGATTTTACTGTCCGTTTGATGGGGTGGTGTTAAAAAGAGAAAAGACAGATAGGTATCGGTCCAGCCACTCTAGATGAAGTTAGATTCCATCCTGCTCCATGGCAGATGGCATTTCTACTGGTTTGGTACCTTGTATTCTCCCCTCTGTTTCAAACAGCCTGAGATAAATTGAAGAGCCGCTCACCGAAAAGTTGGCTCCCAAACTAATGCTGGGGCTATTCTTTTCATCATACAAGTCTGTTTTTGGAGAGAAAAAAGACTAAACCATTGCATAGTGTGTCTTGCTGTTAACATGTAACATGTTACTTTTTAATTTTTTTTAAGACATGCCTTATTTGAGAGATAGAATTACATGGGGGGTGAGGGGGGTAGGTGGGGGGGGGGCGGACAGAAAGAGATCTTCCATCCACTGGTTCACTCCCCAAATGGACGCAAACGCCAGGCCTGGGACAGGCTGAAGCCAGGAGCCTGAGACTCCATCCAGGTCTCCCATGTGGGTGGCAGGGGCTCCAGCACTCAGGCCATCTGGAGCTTTCCCAGGCACATCAGCAAACCAGTGCCCATAGGGGATGCCAGAGTCTCAAGCTGAAACTTCTGTACTCACCGCAATGCCTGCCTCAACATGTTACTTTTTAACACTTAGTATGTCAAATATTTCTTGAAAATTTTCTAAGTTAGTGACTAAAACCTCAAGTTTCTTATTAACGTCACTGCTTTAATTCACTATGGTGTTGTCTGTTTACATATTCAATATTCATGGTATTTTCAACTTTATATTAAATCAGGTTTAAATTTTTAAGTAGTTAGTGAATCTTCTAAAATAGTTTGTAAAGTTTTGTGTGTATGTGTGTATATGTGGAAGAGGGGTCATAGTTTTTTATCAAATTCTTGGTGCCCCTCCAAAAAGATTAAAATCCGCCCTGCAGATTTTCGGTTTCTTGGCCTAAAGAGTATATACCCATTATTTCCCTTTTTGCCTTAGTCTAGTGCCATAGACACCGCAGAAAATTATAATAGATATCTGTTTATTTGAACTGGTAAATTGACTTTTAGTTTGTCCTCATGTAGTCAAATTATTTTATAGGAAACATTGCCTACTTGTTATCTCTGTTTCCACCAGAAGGAGGAGGGTTAGGTCTACTGCAGAAGAATTAAGTTTTAAGTTAAAGGAGAAAGTCCTGGCTGTTTTATGAAACTGAAAAAAAGCACTGAAGAGGTTATGGATCTACTTCATTTGATCACTTTAGAAATAGGATGAACACTATGGGTTCATCTCATCTTGAGATAAATGAATAAAGAAGATAGCATTCTACTCCAACTCCATGGTTCCATAAATAGAATATTCAACATTCTTTCTCAAATTTGAAGCTTACTTGATACTTACTTTAGACAGACATTTAAGGTTTTTTTTTTTTTTAAGATTTATTTTATTTATTGAAAGAGTTACAGAGAGAGGGAGAGGTCTTCCATTCTGCTGATTCACTCCCTAAATGACTGCAACTGCCAGAGCTGTGCCAATTTGAAGCCAGGAGCTTCTTCTCGGTCTCCCACATGAGTGCAGGGGTCCAAGGAGTTGAGCCATCTTCCACTGCCTTCCCAGGCCATACAAGAGAGCTGGATCGGAAGAGGAGCAGCTGGGACTCAAACCAGTGCCCATATGGGATGCCGGTGCTGCAGACTGGGTGGGGCTTTCACCCGCTGCGCCACAGCGCCGTCCCCGACATTTAAGTTTTAAGAGACCAATTCTAATATTTGTTTTTTTTTCAAATATACATTAAGTAACTGAATTTCTTTTTCTCTTAATTCCTCTGCTGTAAATATCTTTTCCCCTTATTGTTAAAAGAGGATTTTGAAAAAATACTGTTCACAAAGGTAACATGAAGTCCCATCTACCCCAAAGTGCGGAATAATTCTAGTTTTGTCTCAGGCACTGCAGCTGGGTTATTTACAGTTTGCCTTCATTTTGATAGAGTTTGAAAAGAACAGGGATCTTTTATCCTTGTTTGATGTTGTAGTCGCTCTCTGTTAAGGTCTTAGGTCTGACTGAGAGAATGAGAGTTGAGTCCTGAACTGTCCCTTGTTTTGGGAGTGTGCTTCACGCCAAAGAATGAGGCTGTGATGGACCAAAAGCAGATCCAATTGAGGAAAGATGGCAGAACTCTACTTGCTTCTTTTCTGTTTCTTACCTTGACATGTCCATGTTACATACTAAGTGTATTTTCTAGTGGATTTATATAAAATGAGGTCAGTCAGTGTACTTGATGTATTTCAAAAAGATAATTACTCCAAGCTATGACAGTCTCAAGTCTCAGGTGTCTTGAAAGTAAGTGAATAGGGGTGAGCGTTTAGTCTAGCTGTTCAGACCCTGCTTGCATCATCCGCATCCCTATCTCAGTGTCTGAGTTTAAGTTCTGGTTCTTATCCCAATTCCAGCTCTCTGCTAATGAGCACCCTGGGAGACAGTGGTGATGGCTCAATCAAGTACTTGGGTTCCTGCTGCTCCCATGGGAGACCTGGAATGAGCTTCTAGCTTCTGTCTTCAGCCTGGTTGGGCCCTAGCTATTGTGGATATTTGGGGAGTGAACCAATTGATGAGAGCTCTGTCTGGCTGCTTCTTAAATAATGATGAAATAAAAGTAAGAATTAAAGTAACTAATAAAAATAATGTGAAAATCAATTATTCTTTTCCTTAAGGCTGTTACTTAGAATAACTGTGGTTTTATTCATTATTGTGTGTCAGTTCACTTTATCATAAAGCAAATTTTATTCATCTTTTCATATAATTAGAGCCTGAATTTAATATGACTTATTAAACTGTCTTTTTTTTTTTTTTGAAGAGTTTGGATTCTGATAAGCCCGTAGAACCTGTGAAAAGATCTCCTCTTCGCCAGGAAACAAACATGGCCAATTTTTCTTACCGCTTCTCCATATATAATCTGAATGGTAAGATGTTAATGGAAATAAAATATAAAGTAATAGTCTTTAAGTTATGTAGGAAGAATGCATCTTTAACTACATATATAAAAAGTATATGTATACCTTGACTGAGTTCTTATATTTCTTCATTTGTGCATTATATTAGTAGACCATACTATGACAGAAAGAAGCAAACTGGAACATAACTAAGATAGTTTCCTAGTTGATTTATTAATAATTGACAAAGTATATTCTCAGATGGAACCCCACAGCAAACTTAATGGCATTGTTGTTTTCTCACTGGATTAAAAAGTCTAGTGAAATTACTTGTCAGAAATTTTTGAATCAGCCCCTTTGGCCTTTAATGTACTCTACCTAGTCACTTCTGTAGTAATTGGAATTGACATTGCAATCTGTAAATTTTTAGACCTTTCATTTTTCTTTTTATGTCCTTAACCCTTTTTGTATTTAATGTCTCCACAAGGTCACTGATTGGCCGGCGCCGGGGCTCAATAGGCTAATCCTCCGCCTGTGGCACCGGCACACCGGGTTCTAGTCCTGGTCGGGGTGCCAGATTCTGTCCTGGTTGCCCCTCTTCCAGGCCAGCTCTCTGCTATGGCCCGGGAGTGCAGTGGAGGATGGCCCACGAGCTTGGGCCCTGCACCCGCATGGGAGACCAGGAGAAGCACCTGGCTCCTGGCTCCTGGCTTTGGATCAGCGCGGTGCGCCGGCCGCGGTGGCCATTGGAGGGTGAACCAACGGCAAAAAGGAAGACCTTTCTCTCTGTCTCTCTCTCTCTCTCTCACTGTCCACTCTGCCTGTCAAAAAAAAGGTCACTGATTATACTAATGGTATACTAAAACCTCTGGTAAAAAGTTGTGCAGGGGAAATGGTTAAAGTCATGAAACAGTACAAGATTTTTACAGCATTTTTTGTCGTTGAATTCATAATTCTCTGATTACCACAAAACTTAAAAGATGAATTATTTACTTCTATAAGTTTATCTGAGAATTTTTTAAAAATTCTAAATTCTAAAATAAGTGTCAGAATTACTTAATCTGATCGGCATTAGGCCCAGTGAGAGGAATTATTTTGCTTTCTGCATTTATTAACTGACTTATAATTGAATTTTTAAGTTCTCGCCCAGTGTGTCCTGGAAACATTCTGTGTGTTGTTCATTGCAGAAGCTCTCAGTCAGGGAGAGACTGTGGATCTGGATGCCCTGATGGCCGATCTTTGCTCTATTGAGCAGGAGCTCAGCAGCATTGGTTCAGGAAATAGTAAACGTCAAGTCACAGAAGCAAAAGCTGCTCAGAAATCACCTGCTGGCCGACAGGCGTCAAAACACGGCACCTTGAAAGGATTACCTTCTTCATCTAATAGGGTCACCAAGCCTCCTCAAGCTAACTATTCCCTGGACGACATCACTGCGCAGCTAGAACAGGCCTCCTTGAGCATGGATGAGGCTGCTCAGCAGTCTGTCCTGGAGGACACGAAGCCCGTAGTAAGCAGTCAGCACCGGAGAACGGCCTCTGCAGGCACAGTGAGTGACGCCGAAGTTCGCTCTGTGAGTAACTCCTCTCGCTCCAGCATCACCTCTGCGGCCTCCAGCATGGACTCTTTGGATATTGATAAAGTGACGCGCCCTCAAGAACTGGATTTGACACATCAGGGGCAGCCAATTACTGAGGTAAACAGATGGAACTTTCCCCCCTGTATTTCAGTAGTAAAATAAGGGTAATAATATTAAAAGTATGTAGTTTTAATTCGCTTTCTTAGTTCTATGTTTAAAATTTGTCAAGGATATTTCTGAGCTAAGCTTTAAATTCAGACTACAGAGGAATATGTTACCAGATATGGAAATGCCATAAAGATGATTTAGAAGGTTTAGTTGCTTCTTGTGACTATTTGGAAGTCCTTGAATTAGTTAATATTGGTTGTTTCACATGATTTTAAAAATTGAAATGTGATTTGTCAAGCCATTTAGTAATTAAGCTGATAATAATTGCTTGTTCATCGATACTTGTTGTAAAATAAAACTTAAGAACACTTGTGTGTTCTATTATAATCCACCAAGATTGTAGTTTTCAGGTTTTACTCCATTTTATTGTCAAAGAGTTAATGTGTGTAGTGGAAAGAGCGCCTGGATTGGAATCAGAAAACTTAGTTCTGGGTTTTTTCATTGCTGCTTACTACCAATGGAACTTTGAATTATTCAGCTTCTCTGAACAGGAATTTCTCTTTACGAAAATCAAGTTAGTAGTGCTTGGTTTACCTCCAGAAAGGGTGATCCAGAGAATCAAAAGTGATACATCTCTACAGATTTTTTTTAAAAAAGATTTATGTATTTATTTGAAAGTCAGAGTTCTACAGAGAGAGAGAGAGAGAGAGAAAGAGGTCTTCCATCCGCTGGTTCACTCTCCAATTGGCTGCAGCAGCCAGAGCTGTGCCGATCCAAAGCCAGGAGACAGGAGTTTTTTTTCAGGTCTCCCTGGGTTTAGGGGCCCAAGGACCTGGGCCATCTTCTACTGCTTTCCCAGGCCATAGCAGAGAGCTGGATTGGAAGTGGAGCAGCTGGGACGTGAACCATTGTCCATATGGGATGCCAGCACTGCAGGCAGCACTTTTACCTGCTCTGCCACGGCACCGACCTCCTCTACAGGTTTTTAAAAGATGATTTTTTTTTTCTGAAATGGACTTGTGATGATGATAGTAAGTTAAACAAAAGTTAAATTTGGCAGAGGAGAATTCCTATATTGAATTGTTTTCATCAAGGAGATGATAGTTATATTATAGGATAGCAGCAAGAAAGAAGAAAATGAGGGGGCAAAATAAAATAAGCCTTCCCAATAAGCTTATATTTACAGTGCTCTTTACAAAACAGTAAAAGGAATTTACTTATAGATACTAGAGCAAAATCTTAAAAAAACATGTTTAAGGAATTAAGAGTTTATTCTTGTGATTTATCATTATTGCATTTTTCCCCGATTGATTTCATTCTTTGGATTAATTTACATCAGCCAATGTAACTCTTGGTCCTTACCCGGAGGGTTAGCTTTTTAAAAAAATATCTTTATTTACATGAGATAGAGAGGCAAGCAGAAAGAAAGCTCCTATTGGCTGGTTCACTCTCTCAGATACTCAGAATAACCCACACCTGGGCTGGGGTTAGTGCAGAGCCGGGAATGCAGTTCCAGCTCTCCTAACATGAGAGGCAGGAACCCAGTTATTTAAACCATCGCTGGTGTCCCCGGCGTCTGCACTGGTGGAAAGCAGGAGTCAAGAGCCACAACCAAGAATTGAACCTAGGCACTCTGACGTAGGCTGCCACAAGTTAACTGTCAGGCTAAATACCTACTCTACTATTGTTTTTTTTTTTTTTTAAACAGGTTGCTGTATTAGCTTTATTTTTTTTTAACTTTTATTTAATGAATATAAATTTCCAAAGTACAGCTTATGGAGTACAATGGCTTCCCCCCCATACCTTCCCTCCCACCCGCAACCCTCCCCTTTCCCACTCTCTCTCCCCTTCCATTGACATCAAGATTCATTTTCAATTCTCTTTATATACAGAAGATCAGTTTAGCATATATTAAGTAAAGATTTCAACAGTTTGCACCCACATAGAAACACAAAGTGAAAAATACTGTTTGAGTACTAGTTATAGCATTAAATCACACTGTATAGCACGTTAAGGACAGAGATCCTACATGAGGAGTAAGTGCACAGTGACTCCTGTTGTTGCTCTGCTATTGTTTTTAATTGAAGAGGTGGAGGAAGAAAATGGAGAGACGCACAGAGGGTCTCAGCTTTGTTCTAGGTGTTGTAGAACACAAAAGAAGCATTGAATCATGGTATTTGGAGATAAAATTGAACTTCTTTTGCAAAGAATCATACTAAACTAAACAATACACTTTATTTAAAATGAAACTTACCTAAGTGGTATATATTTTATAAAGAAGTTGAACCTGATTTCTACTTTATGATACCTGAGAATTATATTTAGCACGTCATTTCATGTCTTTTAGAGTACGTCATTTCATGTCTTTTAGAGTTACCTGCTGGAAAAGATGAGTGATAATTTATTAGAGATATTTTCTTTATGATTCCTTGTTTTGTATGTTGATATTACTTCCTTCTAATTAGATTATTTTGGGTTAAGATGCCTAAGGCAGGTTTTGAACTAATCTTTAAGAAGCTTACGTTTATGTGTATGTGTCTGTCTATCTGTAAATATACTTGGTTTTTTTGTTTTGTTTTGTTTTGTTTGTTTGACAGGCAGAGTGGACAGAGAGAGAGAGAGACAGAGAGAAAGGTCTTCCTTTTGCCGTTGGTTCACCCTCCAATGGCCGCCACAGCTGGCGCACCGCACTGATCCGAAGGCAGGAGCCAGGTGCTTCTCCTGGTCTCCCATGGGGTGCAGGACCCAGGCATTTGGGCCATCCTCCACTGCCTTCCCAGGCCGGCACCGCGGCTCACTAGGCTAATCCTCCGCCTTGCAGTGCCGGCACACCGGGTTCTAGTCCCGGTCGGGGCGCTGGATTCTGTCCCGGTTGCTCCTCTTCCAGGCCAGCTCTCTGCTGTGGCCCAGGAAGGCAGTGGAGGATGGTCCAAGTGCTTGGGCCCTGCGCCCCGTGGGAGACCAGGAGAAGCACCTGGCTCCTGGCTTTGGATCAGCGTGGTGCGCCGGCTGTAGCGCACTAGCCGTGGCGGCCATTGGAGGGTGAACCAATGGCAAAAGGAAGACCTTTCTCTGTCTCTCTCTCTCTCATTGTCCATTCTGCCTGTCAAAAAAAAAAAAAAGTTTTAAACAGTTTAAGGGCAAATATAGTAAAAAGTGAAAAATATCCCCTTTCTTCACAAGCACACTTCAGATAGTATCAAATGATATCCGTGTTCAAGGAAACTAGTGTTCAGTGGTGTAATGTTTGCTGTAAAACTTTACAGTTTGGTGAGCAAACCAGAAATAGAGCAGGGAAATGAGTTTAAGTTTTATCTGTCTAACTGGTTCTTTTACCTTGCTCAGAGGGATACATGAGTGATTTAACAAACCTAGAACTTGCTATTTTTTTTTTTTGTCTAGGTCTAGTATGTTCTGATTCAAATTATATAAGTTGAGGCAAGCTTAATAAGCTCTCGAACCCATCTATCAAATTTTCCTTAAAATAAAATTCAATTTAAAGAATATATATATATATTCAAAGATTTATTTTTTTGAAATTCAGAGTTACAGAAAGGGAGAGACAGAAAGATATTCCTCATCTGCTGGTTCACTCCGTAGATGGCTGCAAGAGTCAGTGCTGGGCCAGGCCAAAACCAGGAGCTTCATTCAGGTCTCCCATGTGGGTGACAAGGAACCAAACACCTGGGCTATCCCAAGCTATTAGCAGGGAGCTGGATCAGAAGTGGAGCAGCTGGGTCTCCAACAGGTGCCCATATGGAATGCAGTGCTGCAGGCAGCAGCTTTACCCACGAGGTCACAGCGCTGGCCCCTTAGTATTTTAATTCGTTTTTCATGTACGGAGTTAAATAGTTCTGTGAGACCCTTGGAAAAATACTCACCTGCCCATGGACATGTTATGTTCTCCCAGAAGTAAGTGCTTTCTACTTATTTAGCTAATTCTTTAAAAAAAAAAAAAAGATTTATTGATTTATTTGAAGGTCAGAGTTAAGAGAGAGAGGAGAGGCAGAGAGAGAGAGAGAGAGGTCCTCCATTTGATGGTTCACTCTCCAATTGACCGCAACGGGCAGAGCTGTGCCAATCCAAAGCCAGGAGCTTCTTCTGGGTCTCCCACATGGGGGCAGGGGCCCACGGACTTGGGCCGTCTTGTACTGCTTTCCCAGGCCATAACACAGAGCTGGATAGGAAGTAGAGCAGCCAGGTCCCAAACCAGTACCCATATGGATTGCCGGCACTTCAGGCCAGGGCTTTAACCCTCTGCACCACAGCGCTGGCCCTATTTAGCTAATTCTTATGGTGCTTACTTCCATATCATTAAATCCATGCTAATATAACTAATTCTTGAATTTTTTTTCACTTGATGACTTCTCATTCTGGGGGATGAAGATGTATCTGTCTTCAGGCAGTTTCCCCAAACTTCTCCCCTACTGTTGCCTCTCTCTCAGAATATTTTGATTGAATTAATCTTCAGTGTTTCTTATGATGGCTATATATTTTCAGTTTTTTTTTAAAGATTTGTTTTAAAGATTATTTATTTATTTGAAAGGCAGAGTTGGAAAGAGAGAGAGAGAGAGATAGTGGGAGAAATCTTCCGTCCACTGGTTCACTCCTCAGAAGGCTGCAACAGCTGGGGCATGCCAGGCCGAAGCTAGGAGTCCAGAGCTTCCTCTGTGTCCCATAGGTAGATACAGGGGCCCAAGCACTTGGGCCATCTACCACTGCCTTCCCAGGTGCATTAGCAGGGAGCTGGATCATAAATGGAGCAACTCTGACTCAAACCAGCACCTGTATGGGATGCCAGCGTGGCAGGCAGTTGCTTAACCCACTGCACCACAGTGCCAGCCCCTAAACTTGCAGTTTATTGCTAAACTCTGTGCTCTTACTGCATTTCCTTTTTGAGAAATCATCTTGCTTTTCCTGGAATTATAATTATCTTTAGCATTTAAAAGAAATATCTAATTTTCTATGTGTTTATCACTCCAGTTTTCAACTCCAGACTTTCCCCCAGC